AATGCAAAAGTTCCATAGGTTTGTGAAATTTATACTTTATTGTAAAAAATTTCGATCATTGCCCAGCAAATCCTGTTAGAGCTTCATTTTCTGTCGATGCGGTGAATCGATCTATGTTCTGAATCAGGGCTCGGAATTAACTGGCACGCGACATTCGGATCGCGAGGGCCACGCCTCCTGACTCTCGTCGCGAGTCCCGCTCCCCGTTCGGCCATTTTTTTCGGCATGGAGCATTTCGGGCGTATGTACTTATTGCTTTATAAGCGTGTCTCAAAATTATGTCACTTCCGTGAAATGCGGAGCTCCCGAGGTCGTTTGCAGCAACTTTCTCCTTAGCGAAAATGTTCTACGAGGCGTTGTTTACGAGTTATTAAGGAAAAACTATGACCAATGAGAGATCGCATACGGCTGACCTCCGCCCTCGCGACCTCTCCCACTACGTCAGACGGCCAGCGCGACGCGACATTAGCCGCAAGGGCGGAGCGTCGGCCGTGCTTGCTCTGCAATTGATCAGTGTTCTTTGTCGATAACTCGTAAACGAAGCCTCGGAGAACATTTTCGCTAAGGAAAAAGTTTCTCTAAATCACCTTGGGAATCCCTCGGTCAGGAGACGTGGCCGTCGCGATTCTCGTATCGCGTTGCTGTACAATTCCGAACCCTGTTCTATAGAACGAGTGAGAAATTCTTAATCAAATAAACAACTGCGAGCAACGAATAGAATCGAAGAAATTTTTATGTCGTAAAGCTCCTCCATGGGGTTCGTGTAACATATGTATTTCGAACATTTCCACCATCGGCGAAACAGTTTCTGATTCACGATTTCAAAGGAATAGGTGCTCTAACAACTTAACAAGACAAAGGATATTTTTACGGAACGATGATCGGGCTAGATCGTGATGGTGTATCAACTTCGTCTCGTTCTAAGTAGCTATATAAAGGCACTATGTTTCACAGGCATTAAATTTCTGCAGAGAAATTTCTTTCGTTCGTCGTTGTTCGATGATCGTGGGGCACAATTACGACGGATAGTTACGATTCCTTTTTACGAGGATTTATCTAAAGCATCGAAGATTCGTGATTCGAATTTTCTTCTACGAGGTGAATTTACGAAATTTCGAGTTGTTTCCGGAAGTGTAATTTTACGGGGGAAAAAGCGACATCTTACTATTATTGAAAAAGATCGCGCGCTCTTTCGAATTATGCAACAACTTCAGGCACTTTGCTGCTTACGCTCGAAAAGCTCAAGCAAATATGTATCGAAGAAAGTATGGTTTATCGAAAAGAAAGGTGAAGTTATCGTATTTGGAAAAGATGAACGATGAAATCGCTATTCAAGACTGCTACATCGATATCGATGTAGCATTTTCATACTGGCACCACCTCGGCGCATATAATTGTATTTATTAAAATCATATATTGCTATATGTTGGCTATCGGGCTACAACAACACGTGTACGCGTATGACATAACCTCATTTTATTTGGACGCCGATAGCTTTTAAACAATTTGTATACCATGCAGGCATGTAAGTACGTCTATTCATACAACTTTCCCTTTTGTTTGAGAATTTACTGTGTCGTACGACCGAATAATCTTGTAATATTAACGCTCGAATACTTTTCAAATACACCTTCTGTAACATTAATTACTTTATCGACGTTATTTCAAACATCTATGTCGTTACATTGTTATTGCTAACGTTGAAGCGCCTTTTATTAAACAATTTATAAGTTTACGAATTCGAAACATCGAGAACTTTTGGTAAGAGAAGGTAGAACAAAATGATAGTTCACAGATTTCAGTTATACGTACAGTATGTACGTGTACTTGAGGACAACGTGCACGGCAGAAAAAAAGTAGCTATAATCCGAAAGATATTAAATTGAAAATATGAACAATTTTTAACTTTCGTTCGGGCGCGCGAAACGAACAAATTTCAATTTCTTCGTATACGAACGTCGTAAAAGGATCTGATGCTCGCAGACGTAAAGTTTTGCTATTACGTTTTTCATTTGTATGCGATGAAAAATTTCATAAAAATACTTACGAAGTTAATTAATGCAGCTCGTTCAAAAGAACCGGATGGCGATACAGACCGAAAACAACTTTCAACACGTCGATGGCGCACACGAGAACAAAAATTCTCGTTCGCTGCTACACGGTTTCGTTTCGCGCGTTAATTTATGATCAACTTACTCGGCGAGAGGATACACACGGAGGGATAACTCCATTAAATACAAAACACAGCATTATAAACGTAATATAACGAGAAACAACGAGGTAGAGCGTTTAAAAAAAAAAAAAAGAAACGAAATTTTCACTCGCGGAGCCATTTTCCAATTGTTTTTGCACCTTGAACGGTGATTTCCGATTGTTTCTGCACCTCGAATGGCCGTTATATTAAGGGGGAATTTCTTATTTTTTGGTGAAAAAGATCGATTTCTTTTTTTGATTAAAAAAAAAGTATACAGGATGTTCCATAATTACGTTAACACTCGGGAAAGAGTGATTCCTGAGGTCATTTGAAATAACTTTTTCCTTAGCGAAAATGTTCTACGAGGCTTCGTTTACGAGTTATTAACGAAAAACAACTGACCAATAAGAGGCGAGCACGGCTTCATCGGGCGAGCACGAGTTTTCCGTTGATAACTCGTAAACAAAGCCGCGGATTGCATGTTCGCTAAGGAAAAAATTACTTCAAATGACCTCAACAAGAATCTCATTTCCGAATTGTGAAACATTTTTGGGACACCCCGTATATTACACGTGTATTTTGTATTAAACGTGTATTTTATGTTACGCTTTTTCTTCGTGACAATATTTCCAGTAGTAGAGAGACTTCTGCGTAATCGAACATTGTTTATTGATACGTAATGTTATGAAAAAATTATAATATTATTGAACAATGTTCGAACGATGTCGTGTTTGGACTGATTTTCATTGGCAAAAGCTCCTCAATTCTTTCGTAATACTCTTATGAAAGTATATTGAAAAATGTAAAAGTTTGAACCTTCGTTCGTGCGTTATTCCTCATCTTCTTACATTGTATGCTGTTGGTCGGTCGCTGGATCTTTGACGCTCGGAGCTCGACGCCCGACAACGCGTTTATTCGAGTTGGAAAGGTTATACGAAAATGTATTCGTGATCCTTGAGTAAAATCTTAATAAAACAATTTTTTAAATATTCACATACACGTGTACATATTTTAAGAACACAGATCTTTAGCCTTACGCCGTGTACTTTAATACACGTTCAAAACCGCGATCTCTAATATGTACGTATATATTTTATGCGTATAAAAGGTAACTTCCTTCAAATTTTTAACTTTATATTAACTGGAAAAGGTGACACAAAAAATAAATGGAATTGAAGGATTAAAGTAGAAAAAAATCTTTGCAGAGTTTCAAATTGATAGTTTATATATAATACCTTATATACCTTTCACTTGAAAATAATAGAAAAGAAATCTGTTTTTCACGAAAAGAAAATGAAATTCTCTCCTTAATCAGGCAGGGTATCTTAGGATAATCTTGCGTTCAGACCTTGTTGATTGATTCTTTTCGTGTCAATATGGCAAGAACAAACTCGGATAAATTCTTCTGGACGAATAAATCCCAATAATATACTTCGACAGATTATTCTTTTTTTTTAAGCATCTCCTTTGAATTTACGGGATCCGTTAACGCGTGTGGCATTAGGTGTGCAACTTCACTCAAAGATCGGCATCGTTTGAAAATTAAGGGATCTCCCTAGTTTGACGTTTTAATTGTTCTGATCAAATTTTCAGGAAATTTTTCAAATAACGAGACTAAGTATTGTATTAAAACAATAATAATCATTATGTATAATTATATGATATAATAATAATAATTATTATCTTCAAAGGTGCAACGGTACTTGTAAGAGTGTTTAGAGAACAAAATTGTAACTGACATAACACAATTCTGATCGCCATAGTCAGCCGATGCAAAGGAATGGTATACATTTCTTAATTTATATTTTTCTATCAACAATGTAGAAAGGATTTTTTATCAAAAAATTTCTTAGGTTCCTATGTCTCGAGATAGTTCTATTCCTTTACTTTTGTAATTGATTATTAAACATAATTATGGCAGTTCCAGGGTGTACGACAAGTAGCTAGGATTAATCCGGAAGGATATTTGCAATGTAAAGGTACCCATGGCACATTTTGTTGCAATGTACAGCTTATACCATTCGTTTGTAAAAATTCAGCTGCGATGCTTTAGAAATAAAATTTGCAGGATACGATGGAAATGCGATACAACCTCAAGAAAATGCGAATGATCATGATTCTTACAAACTGTCAAACCAGGGTAACTTTTTATAAAGCATCTGTCGAGAAACTGTGTAAAAATAAGACAAACGGCAATGGAAGTTCTGACGTTGTTTAAGCTTCTTTCAGTGAGTATTTTACAGTAAATCATCTTAACAATACGTTATAATATATCGATTACTAATAACATCGAATGAGATCTTCCTTTCAATGTAAGTTCTATTGTTTTCGTTCGAGATGCAATTGTCAAAGGATGCTACTCCTTTTTCGTTCATGTTTTCCTTTTTATATACAAACTAATCGTTTTTATTTTGCAATAAAATATACGAATATAAATATTTTTCATCCGTTCAGATATACATGATATATCATATATTGCATATAATATACATATTTACATTATACATATATAATATATCATGTATGCATGTGTGTGTATGTGTGTGTGTGCGCGCGCGCGCGCGTGTGTGTATCTTTAACAATCGCCGCCTAATTATAACGAGACTACGAAGTACGGGATCGAGGTGTAGCAGAATTTCGTTTCGCGCACGTTCAATTATAAAATATTGTTAAGTACACCATAAACTGTACATCCTGTTCGATGCGATGCTGGCCGAAGAAATTCCAGCAACGATTCACGGTAAGAAACGCCTCGACCAATTTTCCTCCGTTCGACTAGCGAATAGGGCTGATATAATTCACAAAATAAGTAAACTTATTTTTAATCGAATCATTACGAAAGAAAATAAAATATTTTGTACAAAGTATGCGGGGTCGTCTTCTGTTGCGCTCCGTGTTCACTTCGAACGATCAATTTACCGAAGGTGTAATCGCTTCTTCGGACCGATCTCGCACGCATTTTGGTTCAATTCCAGCGACGAGCCAACCTCGACTATACATATAGTAGCAGGTTAGAACCGTGACAAAAAAAGGACTATAAAAAGCAACGTAGCCGTCCACAGAGAATGGACGACTGTCTCCGATCGAAATTCTTTCTCGTCGACGTGTTCTCGGGGCCTGTACGCGAGGCGATTCGCAAGCGCGGAGAAAAGCGTTTCTTTTCTTCTCGCCTCGCCCTCCCCCTCCATCCACCCAGTACGGGAAAAACAACGTTGTCCGCGCGAACACCGCTCCGCGAAATGACCCAACATCGCCGTTAGGCGCATCTGAACGCTGTCGTTTACGGAATCGTCGCGCACAGGCCCCGGAACCCGCACCGTTGCAGTAGATATAGCTAGCTACCTATGAACATTTCTGTATACTCGCGTACACATAATCAATATATAACATTTAAGCGACAATATACGCATCACAATATATCGTTCGGCGTGTCATACGCAATCGTGTCTCGCGAACGGGCCGCGATCCACAACGTAACCGTAACCATAGACGACGTCCGCTCTCGATACCGACGAAAGCGGTTGCACGAAATGTAATTAACCGGCTCGAAGGGCTAAAGAAAACTATTCGATCAGTCGATTGCGTTTTTTATACATATGTACTTCGTGTGTGTACGTTTCCTGTATGCGTGTACGTATGCGTGTCGTGTGTTTGCACGTGTGCCTTCTGTGCACGTGCGTGTCGTTCGCGTACAAATGAATACGTATCACTGGTGGCGGTACATGCTGCATCGTATGCACGTTCGTGTACTGTTCAACGTCGTCGTTTCGGACTCTCCGTACACACACACTCTCTCTCTCTCTTTCTCGCGTTCCTTATAGCCTAACGGTCCTCACAGTCGCGCGTCGTATCCGGCGTTCCCCGCGTCGAAATCGCCGTAACGGGGCGCATTTCGGCGAGCATTCGGTCTCCCGCGATCAAATTTGTAAAACGTATCGCTCGTACCATTCTCTCGCGCCGTTCAAAATTCGTAACAAAATTCGTCCGAGAAAACAGGTAGAATCCTTATAAATTTTCGACCTACGGATCGTCCTATCGTTAATCGTATCTTGTTTATTTCCGTTCCTTTATCGCGTCTGTTCCGTTTTATTTACCGTAAGTTCAGTTTCCTGTTGTTTCGTTTCCGTGCAATGTTACGCATTTAACGGATTGATTGCTTTCATCGATGGTGCAACGTTAAACGCTTCCGTTAACAGCGCAGGGGAGAATGAGAAAGACGAAAGAAGTAGAGACCCGGGTGGAACTTTTATCACAGTATCGTATTACTGTAGTTACGAAGCTCTCGGGCGTTTCGGTGCAAACCGTTAGCTGGCGCGCGAACTCGCTCGATCACTCATTCTCCCGTTTTCTCGTCGACACACGCATCTTGTTGCACGCATCCGTTCGCTCGTTGTTTGCCACGCGCCCGAGCGCGCGCTGCACCGGGAAAGAAATTGGGAAGGCACAGTGTATGTACATGTTATTGTACGTACAGCACCGAACGACGATCCGGGAACAATCGCAGCAATAGTGGTACACGACAATTTATATTAATTGAAACGCGAAAGCAGAGCGACCGCGCCGGCTACGAGACTCCAACACGCTTTTGCGAACAAGCGCGTTGTTCGCGAAACAGATATATCTCTGTCGGAGAAGTAAAAGAGCCGTGAGACGGAATTCATTTAATTGTGCAGAAAAAGCGCGTTCAAAGTGCAATGCGAAATCAGCTATTACATTTTGGACATAAGATTCACGTAGCACGTGTTTCTTCTTTCGGTCGGACTTAAAAAATATACACCGCAATCGATTTAAGATTATTTTGTCAAAATTCGACTTGTCCGTCTTTTATCTGCCCGCCAGAGACAAAATATGATAACGTCCGACGCATAACGATCGCTTCAAGAATGTGCCATTAAATGTGTTTTTTTTTCTTCTTTCCCGCCGTGAATTTTGCTAAGCGGGCACAGAAAAGATTTTCATGATACCAAACCATCCGATATCATCTTCTAAACAGAGCGTTAAGAAATTATTCTCAAATTAATCTAATGCTTCTTCGAACCCAGGACAAGGATCTTGTAGACATTTAGATTCTATTCCAATGACGAATCTATAAATATTGTATAACTTAAATTATCTTAAAAACGCAACGGAAGCGAATGATCTTTCCATTCGAATTTCAAACGGCGTCTCATATTGGGAGCACTCTTTTAGATCCATTAATTTTACACTCCTTCATTTCTTCTCTGTTTCCATAATAAATAATCTACAAAGCTGATATTTTTCTGAAGTATGAAAAAACGAATGGCGCATGTTTAATCGAACGTAAACGGAGTCTCGTGCTCGGTACGAGCGCGCTATACAATTGGTCGTTGATCCGACGAATCGCAACGCAGGAACGTCAACAGTAGAATTCGCGACTAGTCACGAACGTCCATCGACGTTGGATCAGGTTGTTCGATTGATCGACGAAGGTTTCATTTAAGTCTAGCGGGGGTTATAATGAAGTTTACAATTTCTGAACGAAGTCGGACGCGAATCGTGCGAACGAAGGGAAAATATCTCGCGGAAGTAGAAAAACGTTGACGTGAACGATTGAAAGCAGAAGTCTTTCTCTTTCCGTGGGTACGACGCGAAACGCCAAGTACATTATTTGTTGGCGATGTTCTCGTTTCTTGATAATTTAAACGGATTCTCGATCTGCGCGACCAACGCGAGCAGCGGTGCTCTTAAAACGCCATTGACTAGACCTCATCGGAAGCCCAAATTCTTGCTTCCTCGCAGTGTAATGATTAATCGTAAACGAGGACATGGCTAGACAATGTGGACATTAAAACTTAATGCTCGATACCGTAAAGAGAATGGTTGCGTTATGTACCGACTATGTCAGTGCGTGTTCTCGCACTTTCTCCATGATTTCGGATAGCGTTGATCATCTTATGTTAGTCCTTAACACGCGAGACATAGAAAAACGTCAAGCTTTACAAACGTTAAATACCACTGACTAGACCTGGCGGATCGCGTTCCGCTTCGCTTATTATTTTCCTTTTTTCCCGTTTCCCGTGAAATCTCATTTAACATTATCAAGAAAGTGCAAGAAACTGCGAGAAACAGCGTTTCGTGGGCCGATCGAGGAGCGTGTCATCGACAACGAAACGAACGAGTTTTCGACGCTACAGATAATCGTCGAGTACCACGTAAAATTGTGCGTCGACCGTTCGCAGGCACAAGGATATTACATACATTTAAAAACACTCGGAGTCGAGCGATCTCCCATTTCTCTCTCTCTCTCTCTCTCTCTCTCTCTCTCTCTCTCTCTCGCTCGCTCTCTGTTAACAAAACGACGCTGTTCACGGATGTATGGCGGCGTACTTTGGTAAGACTGCTTGCGACGATCCTTGGTCGTTCGAGCATCCGTTGGCAGCCTTTGGGACGGAGCGTCGTCGTCGTCGTCGTTGCTGCGCCAGTTTCACAGATCGGTTCTCGGTGAGGACGACGAGGAGGAAGAAGTTGCGCAAATGGACGAGACTGAATACCATCACGAGGAGTCGTAGTAGGGCATATCACCTGCATGGCGCCAGGAGAACTTCGAGCCAACATGGACAAGACGTGACTTCCTGTCTCGCGTACTTCGGCCCCCAGCCTTTCGCGAAGCTGATACGGACGGAGTTGATGTCGACAGGACCGGAGGCGAAGCCCGCGGCCTGCCCGGTTGTTCTTACGGTACCGCTGCCGTATGGAAGCTGTAGTATTTTGGTTCGGTCGAAGATGTTCAGACAAAAACCAGGAGGCACGCGATAGACGAGCAGCGTTCTAGACTCTGGATCATCCAGCGTCGGCGAGTTCACGAAGATCGGGCTCTCGGATCTGTTGTACGCCCATACACCGTCTGCTTCTTGACTTAGCATTACACCTGCAACACACGATCCCATTAGTTCTCGCGAATTATCTCTCTACAATTCGCAACAATACTAAAAGACTACGCATACTAGCCATTTACTAATTTTCAGGTGCGAGAAATCATTTGTGCTCCCTGTATTATACAGGGTGTCCCAAAAATGTCTCGCAATCCAAAAGTGGCGGGTTCCTCAGGCCATTTGAAGCAACTTTTTCCTTTACAAAAATTTTCTCCGAGGCACCGTTAACGAGTTATTAACGGAAAACAGTGACCAATGAGAGACGAGCTCAGCTGGCGCGAGGCGACCGAGCCAATGAGCGGAACTGGGCTTCGTGCGCTGGTTGGCCAATTCTTATTGGTCACTGTTTTTAGTTAATAACTTGTTAACGGTGCCTCGAAGAAAATTTTTGTAAAGGAAGAAGTTGCTTCAAATGATCCGAGGAACCCGCCATTTACGGATTGCGAGACATTTTTGGGACACCCTGTATACAGGATGGGGCATTTCAAACGAGACAGCTAAATACATAACTCACTTGTTTCTGGCAATAGAAAAAAAAATGTCAAACAAAAGTTGTTTGATTCCGTGGTGCACCTTATACGATGTGAATAATTTTTTTATTAGTCAAGGCGTAGAGGACATACGAAGGTCAAACTCGTTTTTTAAATAGGACGACTTAATTTTTTATTCACATTCCAATGAAGCCTTTCAAGGCGAATACAATGGCCTACAAATGGCCATTCAAGGACGCAATATACGAATTACAAATGAAAAACAAATTCTTCTGTCGCGTTTAAGTTTCCTCGTACTAACATGCGGATTTTGTTTTACATCTTCTAAAATATTTATTCCACTCGCTTCATTAACCACTCTTTTAGTTCGATTGGATGTTTCGTTTTCTCGTCATTTATAGGTCATTGTATTCGTCTTGAAAGGTTCTATCAGAATGTGAATAAAAAATTAGGGCATCCCATTAAAAAAAACGTTTAACCCTCATATGTTCTCTACGCCTCCACTTATAAAAAAAATTATTGACATATTATGTGGCCCTCGAAATCAAACAATTTTTTTCTAACACTTTTTTTTCTACTATCAAAAACAAGCGAGTTATTCAGATGTCTCGTTTCAAATGATTCACCCTATATACCGGGTGTTCACGCTTACTACAATTTTTCACCTACTCGCAACCATCCGGCAAAACGAATCTACATACAAAAATTGCAGGTTATAGAGAGCGTATTGAAATTGATATCGGCAAACAAAATCTCGAAGACGGTTTGTTTTCATCGCGAGAATAATTTCTCAATGAAGGCGAACTTTGACATAACCTTTCACGCCAAATAAATTTTGATATTCGGAATTTGATATTCAATAAATGAATTAAAACTGTGATTGCTGTCACTTGTATGTCATAAATTATGAATGTTAAACGTATACAAAAAATTATAAGATTCATTTTTAGAAGATTACACACTATAAAATGTTAGATTTTATTACTTTTATAAAATACCGCAGTATTTGGATCATCCGCAGTAATACATACACTTACCCTATTTGTTTTATTTTTATTTTTTTATCATATCGAATTCAAAACACATACTACACGATATTTTTACTAACATATTAGTGGATTAAGAGTGGCGGAAATACGAAATATTTTGTTGTATTTAACTTTAACACAGCGTAAACATTATTTGACACCGAATAGTTTACTAAATAACTAAATTTAAATAACTAAATAATTATAAAATAACTAAAATCAAATAACTAAATTTACTAAATTACTAATTAACTAAAATATCATGTAATATATGTTTTTAATTTGTCTCGACATCCTCTATGATAAGTAAACAAATATGTATGTATTCCTGTTTGGAATAACCTTGATCTCGCGATGAAAACAGACTGTATTTCTGAACATCTTTTTACCGATATCTATTGTTTGCTACGCACCCTGCAACTTTTGTTGTGAGATCGTTGCAAGTAACATCGTGAGAAGTCATTTATCGGTAAATTCTAATATACAGGATGGTCCACCAAGATCTGCCACCTTTTCACTCGAAAATCTTTGTTTTTTTCTTTAAAAAAATGTTTCAAACAAAAGCTGTTTAAATAACCTTGGCATAACGTGCGTCAATCAGAGTGAGCAACATCTTGAGCAATTTCTACATTGAATACAAGTTAATCAACATCTCGGTAAGTACTTGACTTACGAACCATTTTGTTTTACAGTTTTTCACTTAATTTCAAATACTCCCGCCAGTAGTAAAGTCAAATCCTATACAATTATGATTGGAAAATTAAAAGCAACCTTTGAATCTCGATAAAAAAGCAATACAAACGAAATTAGTTATATCAACGTATGCTCGATTTCGTACCCTACGACTTTTGTTTAAAACATTTTTCTAGAGAAAGGACGGTTTACGAGTAATTTAGTTGCCAGATCTTGGTATACTACCCTGTATACGCGTACAAATTAATAAATAAAAAAAGAACTAATAAAAATCATATATTTCAAATCGTGACGAAACTACAAGACATGTAATTTCTTTTTAAGCTTAATGCAAGTACTTGTATTAAGTAACAGCCCTTTGAATATATAGGGTGTCACAAAATTAAGATACCTCCGGGAAATGAGGGGTTCCCGAGCTCATTTGAAGTATTTTTTTTTCTAGGTAAAGATGCAATCCGCGGCTTTGTTTGCGAGTTATTAACGAAAAACACTGACCAATCGGAGAGCAAGCGCGGTCAGCGCTCCGCCCTTGCGACCAATGCCGCGTTGCGCGGGCCGCCTGACGCAGCGGCAGTGGTCGCGAGGGCGGGGAGCGTCAGGTGTACACGATCTATCATTGGTCAGTGTTTTTCCTTAATAACTCGAATACAAAGTCGCGGTTTGCATTTTCGCTAAGGAAAAAGTAACTTCAAATTACCTCAAGAATCCCCCCATTTTCGAATTGCGAGACATTTTTTGGACATCCTGTAGTAGTAAAGAAACGATTTAGCATGGAGAATTCAATAAATCCATTCGGATGAATGAATCCGAATTTTCGGTAAACGATCGCATTTTTTTAAATAAAATTCATGCTGTGTTTAACATTCATTAATCACAACGCAACGATTTCTTGCCAATATACAGGGTGTCCTAAAATTATGTTACTTCCGAGAAATTATGGAGTTCCTGGGGTCATTCGATGTAATTTTTTTCCTTTCTACCGCTTATTTTTCTGAGGAAAGTGTCTAGCAAATGTAATTCGAAAATGATATGTTATTCGAAAGTTACGGAAAGGATCATTGGCGGTTTAAAAAAAGAAAATTAATTTGCAACGTTTGCAACCTTTCGAATAATGACGTTGGGAACAGTTATTACGTCTTGTTAACCTAAATATAATTTGTTATTTATTACTTTATTATATATTTGTTAACGCAAAAAAATACCTAAATAAAATTGTCACAGCTTTTGACCAATTTTTTAAAAAATACTAGAATGATGATTTAAAAATTTTTAAATAACAAATTAGAAAATTGTCGAAAAATACACGAAGCCTTAAACAACGCGGCGAGACGAATTAGCAAAAGATAAAAAAGATGCTTACCAAGACCGATTTTGCTTCTTGTTTTTTGGACCGCCGGTGGTGCAACATGGTTCTCGGCTAGCTTCGCGAGGCACAGGCCATCGCCATCGTGGAGGGAATCGAATACATTCACCGTCGATGGCTCCACAGGGTAAAGACGACCCACTCGACCACCTAGTTCCCAATATGCTAATGTACACCATTCCTTCTGTCCAGTCTCACCTATAACAAAGAAAAAAAAAGTTAGTTATTCTGAATTCCACATAGCCGCGTTACATAACTCGTGTTACTTGCTCGCGTCCGTGAATGTGATAATATGTAACGGCGTCACTGTGTGTTCAGTTACTTTTCAATGAATGCGATCCAGTCGATGAATTACACGTTTCGCTTTGTGCAACCATTAATGGCATCGTTTACGAGAACCGCGTGTTTCGAGTAAATTGTCATGAAAATGTCAAAACTGAAAGTCTGCAGTTGATTAATTTAATTTAATAATAATTCATTCATAGTAAATAGCTAATTTATATCGATTCAGTAATAGTAATTATGGTAATTTATAATAAAATTAATAATTAATTTATGATAAATAGTTAATTTACATTAATTTAGTAATTTATAATAAATAATTAATTTTCAATTAATTTATGAAATATTTTATTTTCAAGAATACATGCATGATCTAAAATACAATATCCACTTGCTACTTTCTTTCTCTATTTACTGTTTACTATTTTCTTCTTCATTTCTATGAAGAAATAGGATGAAGAAATAAGATGAGAGACACATGATTGACGAGAGGTCTTTGAATTCTGCCGAAAGCGCTCGGGTGAGGGGCTGCGGACGTATCAACGCAACGGTATCATAAAAGGGAGCCGCTTCGGCTCGATTCGGCTCTATTTGACTCGATTCGGCTCGCCACGAGACGCCGCACCGCGTCGGGAAGTCCCACGCGTCTCGCCAACTAACTGTCGCGGAGACAACGACGGCGCCAGATTCGAGGGCAGACAACCGAATAGACGGAGATGGAAAAATTGTTCGCAAAGTATCCAACCGAAAGAATCGAATGCCTCTGTGCTCTCGTTCTCTCTCTCTTTCGGGATGCGATCGAACTCGATACGTTCCATAAATATGCATACATACATACATACATGCATACATACATACATACATACATACATACATACATACATACATACTCGATGTCAACAATATCCAATTAACACGTTAAACGCCAAATATCAATTCCAAAAATGCCGACAATATGAAAATCGTTTAACCAATGAAACCGAAACTGGAAAGTTAAACTTTTTCCCATAGAAAAAATTAGTTTCACTCTTTTGTATTCTAAAAATCCTACCAACATTCGGTTTGTCTTTACAGTTTTATTACGATATATCGGCTCTCTAATTTTTATTACAGATTTATTGTATATTTTTAATCGATTATATAAAATCTACTATATTTAGTAAACAGAAGCACGCGTAAAAATCATTTTTATAAGAAATTTCACACGAATTTAATTTGTCTATAAAATTTGTTTGCACGTTCCATATTCTTATACAATTTCATACAAAATTTCATATAAAAATCCCAACTTTCATTTATAAATGTATACATTTGTTTTATGCGATAACATGCACAGTCCAACTTTCGTTGCTTTCAATTCTTGATTTAAAGGCATATTAAGGTTATTCTTGTGCAGGCGACTGCGTCTTGATGTCTCGAAATTCCATTGCCTCTCGCACTTTTGTACAAGTCTTATAAAGGATCGATTTAGCCGGTAGATCGTTCCTGAGCAGGTAATGACCTCTTTCCCGTCATTGGTTCGGACCGTGCGTTCGCCATTCGACAAAGCTAGAAAATTCGGCGCGTCGAGAAGCGACCGAATTGAAATACTAGGTTATGTGTAGACATTACACTGCCGTGTATCTATTATTCTTTAACTTGAACATTTACTTTTCTTAAAATATTAGATACGTGTGCATATATTATTGTCAAATATTGTGGAGGTTCCTCCATGAATTTCTTACGAGTCTAATGTCACGTTTTCATTACGATAGCCCCTAACCTCATATTTTATCTTTTCTTCATATTGCTTGATATTTTTCGTTCTCTTTCCTTTGACTTCTTCTACACACGCAGCTATAATTCCTAGGATCAAGATATTTTCACTGTAGCACTTTACAAATTAGGTATAAGGTACTCTACGATCGAGCGTGTTCGCGCCGGCTCGTCGAGAACTGCGATGTATAGGTTAAGGTGCGCAGTTCGGCAAAGCCGAAAATTATGCGCTATATACTATGTTAGTAAATAATATTTGTGGATAGATGATAATGACAGTTTACGTAGTTTTTCATGAAAGTAATGATCTAAAAATAACGCTGAAATGAACAGTTTATTATTAATTACCAAAATATAAATGCATTTCGAATCAGCGTTCACAGCTGCCGTTAGGAGTATATATTTCGTAAGACTCCATGTTTCCATAAGCTTCCGAACATTAAAAGTCAATGAATGAATTAAAACTGCGATTGATGTTACTTGTATGTCATAAATTACCAATATTAAACGTATAAAAAATTACGAGATCAATTTTTAGGAGATTACATGCTGTAAAATGTTTGACTTTATTACTTTTATAAAATACGCACAGAACCCACATTTACCGTAGCGGCATGATCTCGAGGCTTCGAAACACCGCCGAACAGCGTATCGTATTCTTTGTTTATCTTTCCATCCTTATAAAATTGTCCGGTCGCCAGTTCTACGGTTACATTTATAGCCATGAGATCCATTTACCGAACAGTAATTGGCATTTATTATCCGCGATGTAAAATTACATTGTGGGACGAATGTAATCGCCGGTGAGTCACGAGAAATCATAACGAAATGACTACAAAAAGGAGGAAAATTAAACTACGAGACCACTGGCCTAGTAAATACATCAACCTGAAAGAAAGATGATGAGAAACGTGCTCTAGAAAACGAAGTTAACGAGGAAACTTGTTAAGGACAAGTTTATTTGCAATATTCTGCTATCGGATGGAAAAACGAAAACGTTTAATTCTAATCGGCGGGTTTGCAACAATAAATCAAGGTAGCAGTCGATTTACACATTTTTTTGTTGTGCATTTGATTTTGTTCAGAGAAGTATGATCGGTTGCCTGATGTAAGTAAGCATGTTGGTTGTAAATACCAAATACGGTGGTATTGAAACGGAGAGAAACGAATGTCTAATTCGTTTGCTTTCTATTTAATTTATTTCCTTCTACTTTTTGGCACAAGGAGGAGGCAGCTTGAATATTTATGCAGCGTCGATTGAAACAATGAAAAAGGTACTGCAACTCTACGAGTAGAATTAACGCTAGAAGAGACCCAAACAACGTGAAAAAAAGAAATACGAAATTATACGAAACATTCGAAAAAGCTGCACAGAATTAATTAAAAATGATAAACGAATTGTTCATATATCCCAGCAGGGCACAATAAGCAATGAAAAAGCATACACATAAAAACATACAACAAACGATGAAGAATGGAACAGAATATGAATCGCGCCAAGAAAAACAAAAACTCGCGGCAACGTACTTACAGTCCTCGCGCGACAAGGAGGCACCTTTGTGTTTACACATTTCTCCTCTTACTTACTAGCTGCCACACTGCCGCAGCTATCGGTCGCTAGCAGCCGCCGTCAATCTACGTCACCGTTTTCGGCCAATGGCGACCGATAGCTGCGGCAATGGGCAGCTAGTAAGAGGGGGAACATGTAAACACGAAGGTGCCTTCTTGTCGCGCGAGGACTATGTATACAGAATTCCTTGCAACAAATGCCGGACTACGATATGAATAGAAAGGCAAGAATAATTTCGTCATGACTCGGATCGGGACAAATAACTCACGACCATTTACACAAAAAAAGAAACCGAACTACCCTTCTGCAATCCCGCTAACAAAGCACTAACAACCAACTCTCTACTATTTCAATGCAACAAATATCAAAACGATAAAATGAAATAAAAACTGAACATACGATTGAATTTGACGTAACAAGAGTTAAAATGTAAATAACGTAACAAGATTGAAAAATGATGTTTTTTAGACCTTTTTTATCTGAACCTACACCGCGTAAATTTAAAAAATATGTCGGGACAACTTTGTTTAGCCCAACTTAAGAATAATATGATTCATGTTTCTTTTCACTTAAGATCATTTTTTTTGTCAAGTATCGATGGTGATCATTATTTTTTGCACATTATCCCCTATTTTTTAAAGGTCATAGCGTTAGAACTCGTGGAATTCGTCTTGATGTGCAAATAATAGCAATGACCTTGCGTACTTGAAAAAAATAACCTTGAGAGTAAAAAACATGAATCATAATATACTTAGTCTTGAAAGTATGATATGAAAATATAATGAAATAAAATTAAATATAACCAAAATGAACACCATATATGCATACTGAAAATTACATTGAAATCGCAGTTTTTCACTAATTTTAATCAAAAACAGGTAATTTTCAGTGGCCTGTAACATCTATTATACATATAAGTTACCGAGATCTACGAGACGCCATTTTTAAATTCTTCTTACAGGTTCGGATCAAACAAGTTGGAAGAACATGATATTAAAATTTTACACAATCCGACCAATTTCAATTTTTCAATAAAATTATTTAACAATTATTTAGTAAACTAATCCGTCTAACATCTCGAAAAAATTTAGATTGCTTGGCCCAATTATAAAAAGAAAAGTTATTGCGTTTTGAAAGGTGCACGGAAACTTATTGCACCGACTGTACAATAGTTCACCTATCTCTCACCACGTACAAGAGGACTTAGTTCAGAATAGTGTTCAGTTAACCGGACACTGCTAAAATTTCGTTCATATAAGTGGAATATGTATAAACGTAGTTCCGCTGTATATTGTATGAAGTGGCCGTCGCGTTTTTCGATCTAATTCCAATCTAAACCCGATAGAAAAATGAGGAATTTGATCCTGTGCAATATTAATATATATAATAATATATAATATATAATAATATATAATATATAGTCAAATTAGGTTGACAAACTAATATGTACTATTGAATAGGAATCAACTGGCGCGTCTGGTCATGGTATACCAATTCTTCGTCATATTACAAAAGTCACGTGAATTTGACGCATCTTTCAACTCAGATTTCTCGGAAACGGAGCCTTAAATAACAAAATGTTATTCCTCTT